GATATTAAGATCTAGACATGTGCATGGAAATTTCCATAGACCTTCCATTAAAATGGTATAATGTAAGATGAAATTTCCATAGACCTTCCAATAACACAGCAAAATTTAAGATGCACAGTTATAATTGATCCTGACATGTCTATGGAAATTTCCAGAGATCTTCCATTGACACGGTAAATTCAGTAACATTATAATCGATCCTGAAATGTGCATGGAAATTTCAAGAGATTTGCTTATTAAGTGTCCTGGTATAATGTAACATGCATATGATTTTTAAAGTCCCTTTGAATTATCATCTCTATGGTAATGTCTGAATATACATTTGTAAAAAAAATTCTCAGAAAAATCGCTTTCAGATATGCCATATCCTAATTGGTATATCTAAAGCACGTATCTATAAATTTCAGTTAATACTGAGTTCTCAAAAGAAAGTCTGTTTTTGTTGTTAAAGTTGTTGTAATCAATTCAACTGTGGAGTGGCTTTTATAGACTATTAAACTTTTTTCTTCCATATAGTTTAGCATCCTGGTAAGAAAGATACATTGTAGAGTACATGTTACCCAACATATACTGAAGTGGCAAAGAAGCATCTCTTTGATTGTCATTTTTACCAAATTTTCTTTACTTCAGAAAATCTGCACTTAAAAAAATTACTTGTTTTCAGCTTCTTGATAGATTTATTTCATTGTAAAGCGTAAGCTTAAGAAATTGTGGCATGCAAGTGACTGAATGGATTCTCAGTTTTGATCACGTACCGAAATATCGCAGTTTGAACTCACCATAAACTTTCAAAATCATACCTTTATAAATGGCCGCTCGACCCTAGTATCGGCCAGTCGATAAGTGAACTGTTGTCTCTTCTTTTATCTCCACGGTGCCAATGACTTGCTTTTCATTTATACCCCTCGCTATGCTCTCGTTTTCCCATTGAACCGATGAAAGGTACATTCAAAGACGAGCGCCAAATGGAGTTTTTTTGTTTCCGATCACGGGCATGGTCAGGTGGATACTTTGGGAATTGTCATTGGCTTGTAAAAAGAATCCCCTGGCTTGCCTGATTGTAGTCTCAAGAGAAGCGCAGAAGATTATTTTGATTTCTCTCATCCGTACCCTGCGCTTTTGGACGATGGATTAATCTTGGATCCATGTTTTGAAGATGTTATAAATAATTATGTGAACTCACTCTATGTAGAAATAATCGAGAAGAATCGAACGTACTACAAATGAAGGGTTTGTGGCCAAGAGTTGTCAGAGAGACAAAGAATTGAAACCTCGCCTCGAGTTGTGTTCACGGAGAAGGTGAAAAATAACAGAAGCCAATCACAACTTTGAATGTGATTGCAAACGTGTTTTACCCTCATTATTATAAAAGATAGATACCACCTTCCGAATTGTAAGAGTTACCAAGGTGATCACAGTACACCTGTCCCAAATCAACAAAGCTAGGTTTCAACATGGCCATCTCGTGCCCGATTCCTTAGTCTTTCCCTTCCAGTGAACTAGCAGTGTGTTAAAGAACGTTTCCACCCATTATTAGGATTTTGCTTGTTTTGTTATATTTCGCATGATTAGCGGCGCACTGAGTTATTGGTTCTTTACCTGTAATAGAGACCGGTAGAATGTAACCGGAAATATTGACAAAGAATGCGTAGAACGATCGACAAATAATGATGTAATTAACTAGATAATTGCTTGTGAAATCATGTGTTAAGATTAACGATGATAAGATTTGTCTAACAGACCCTTGCAACAGGAATTACTGGGATCAACCAATTAGGAAATTATGTAGAAAACTAAGCCCTATCCGACCACACCAGACCTACGTATCTGGATGTGGATATCTCTAGCCAATAAAAGTGGCACTTGTGATCCTAAGTCAGTTAGATCGTAGAGCAGAACGTGAACTGTTGAAATGGAAAGCCAGTTTAATGGAACAGATTAAAAAGATTTCGCCACTGGATGAGCAGATCTTAGAAGAGTTGGCAGTGGACGAAAAGGCGACAAAGGAGGACATAGCAGATGAGATTGAAAGGAGTGGCCGTTTGAGAGCGGACGCAACACAAATACTGGCGGCCATCGAAGAGCAACTAGCAGAGCAAGGCACCCCTCCTCTACCACCAATGACACCACAGCACGTGCAAGCGAGTTTAAATCTAAGCCAGAGTAATCAGAGCAGCCAACAGAAGGTGGTGCGAGCGAAGCTCCCAAAGTTGGAAGTCAAAAAGTTCAATGGGAAACTCTGCAAATGGCAGGAGTTTTGGGACTTGTTCGAAAGCGCCATCCACCAGAATGATGGGCTCTCAAACATAGACAAGTTCTCGTACCTGAGGAGTTTGCTAATGGAACCAGCACAATCAGCAATCGGTGGGTTTGCGCTGACATCAGCCAACTACGAATCAGCAATAGAACTGTTAAAGAAACGCTATGGCAGGAAGATCATTATTCAGAGAGCACTTGTTAATGAACTGTTGAATGCGTGCTCCGTTTTCAAGGAGAGTGACACGCTAAGACTGCGCAGCCTTTACGACTTCGCAGAAACAAAGTATAGAGCATTGCAGGCCTTAGCAGTGGAAGAACAAAGCCACTCTGAAGTTGTCGTCCCAGTGCTGTTGAAGAAGCTTCCCGACTCCATCCGACTGACCATCACACGAGGAAAGGAGTACTTGCAGTGGGCGTTGGGCGATATGTTGAAGGCACTCCTGGTCGAAGTGGAACTGAGAGAAGACCATTGTCTGACGCAACACCGAGTTGGATCCGGCGATGAAATAAAAGAACCCTTTACCTCCAGTGCGCTGTTCACCCCAAAGGGACAAGATCAAAGATGCGCGTTCTGCCTTGGGATCCATCCTCCTGAGGAATGCAAGGTCACGAACATTGAGGAACGTAAGAAACTTTTACTTAAATTTGGTAGATGTTTCAAATGTATTAACAAGGGCCATCACGCCTGTGACTGTAAGGTCACTGTCAAATGTAAGAATTGTAAGGGTCCTTACAACACGTGTTTGTGTGACGGAAAGTCTCAGAAAGTCTCAGAGGGGGATAACAGTCAACCAGTAGCAAGTAGCCCAAGTAGTTTGCTCGTGGGTACAGAAAGTAAAATCGCTCTCCACACTGCCCAAGCCTTAATAGCGGGAAGTGTAAAGGGTAGGATGAGAGTTTTGTTTGAATCAGGGAGTCAAAGGTCCTTTGTGACAGCTAAGGCTGCAAGAAATCATGGCCTGGGAATTGTAAGAAAGGAATGGGTAGCTATAAATACATTCAGACAGGTAGTTAAGGAATCAGGATTGATGGAAGTCGTTCAGTTTGATATAATGCCTCTACGAGCCAACCGTTCGCTCAGGCTTGAAGCATATGTTGTGCCAGAAATATCCAACATAAGCAACGAGCACGTAGAGGTCGTCAAAAACGACTACCCACATTTGCGTAACCTTTGGTTTTCCGACGTTTGTTAAACCAAGGAAGAGCTCATAATTGACTTATTGATAGGATCATATTATTTGTGGGAATTTCAAAGGGGGCAAACAATACGGGGGGAGTCAGAAGAACCCGTAGCAGTGGAGACTGAGCTTGGATGGGTATTATCGAGCCCCCTAAAAAGGAAGGGATCTAACAGCGAACAGGAAGTGTCAATAAATTTCATAGGCCATGATAGTTTAGCGATCGCAAAAGACAGTTTAGAGGGCGCAGTCAATCAGTTGTGGGATCTAGAGAGTTTAGGAGTTAAACCAAGCGACGAGGAGCACGAATCGTTCGAAGGCGACATTAGTTTCACTGATGGGAGGTATTTGGTTAAGTTACCTTGGAAACAAGGTCACGAGCCCCTTCCTAGTAATTATGCAAACAGCCTGTCACGCATGAGGAGTCAAATTAAATGATTGAAAAGGGAACCGGAAGTACTCAAAGAATACGATTTCATCATTAAAGATCAATTAAGCTCGGGGGTCATCGAGAGTGTGACGGAACACGAGAGAGCATGTAAAGTGCATTATTTGCCTCATCAAGCTGTCATCTGAAAAGATGCAGAGACCACAAAGTTGAGGATAGTGTATGATGCTTCAGCAAAGGAAGGTAAGAACGAAACAACCCTTAACGACTGTCTACCTACCGGGCGATCGTTAACCACTCTACTTTTCGAGATACTGGTAAGGTTCAGAGAAAATAGAGTCGCGCTTGTCGGAGATATTGAGAAGGCCTATTTGAATATTTCTGTAAATGTAAATGATCGCGATTGTTTGAGGTTCCTGTGGGTGGATGACGTGTGTGATAGCAATTCGAGTGTTCTTGTTTATCGGTTTTGTCGAGTTGTTTTTGGATTGAACGCGTCGCCTTTCTTGCTAAATGGAACTATAAGACATCATTTAGCAACCTTTGCAGAAGCGGATCCTGAATTTGTTAGGAAAATGATTGAGAGTTTTTACGTACACGACCTGGTCTCGGGCGACAGTATGACCGACAAAGCGTATGATCTGTACACTAAGGCAAAGGTCAGAATAGCAAAAGGAGGCTTCAAGCTACGCAAGTGGAAAACTAATGACCCAAGGTTAAAGGAACGAATCGGTTTGAGTGAGACTGCCGTGACGAAACCTGAAATTGTGAAAAGATTAGAAGATGAAGAAACATACGCAAAGTCAAAATTAGACTGCCAAGGAGAGTCCAAGGGAGAAAGGGTTCTGGGTGTTAAGTGGAATTGTGAATTAGACATCTTCCACCTTGATCTCGCGCATATCGCCAAGAGGGCAGAAGGCTTAGAACCCACCAAACGTAATGTGTTGAGCCTATTAGCCAGTTTGTTTGACCCGCTGGGGCTCATCAGTCCGGTGATGGTGAGTATAAAAATTCTTTTCCAGGAGGTCTGTGGTAAGAAGTTTGAGTGGGACAAAACATCGACAGGCAAGATTGAAGAAAAATGGAGTAAATGGGTTGATGATTTGTCGCGAACGAGAGAAATTAGAATAGGTGTCTATGAGGCGAGAGAAGAGTGTGTGACAGAGTGTTACTTGCATGGGTTCGGAGATGCCAGTAAGAAGGCGTATTGTGCCATGGTTTACTTCGTGTACCGTACAGACGATGAACAGGCCCATGTGAGATTAGTCACGAGCAAAACGAGAGTTGCGCCCTTAAAACAGCTGTCCATCCCCAGATTAGAATTGATGTCAGCGAGAATACTGGCCCAACTTATGAACACAGTATGCAACATGTTACAGTTGCAGGTCACCATAGATGGTGTGAGGTTCTGGTTAGATAGCACAACGGCTCTCAGCTGGATCCTAAACAAGATAGAGTGGAAGCAGTTTGTGCGACATAGAGTGAATGAAATTCTCATGTTGACACAAGGAAGAATGGGCGCACTGCTCAACGGACGAAAATCCAGCAGATCTCGGTTCGAGAGGAGCTCTGGCCTCCCAATTGAGGGAAGACAACCTTTGGTGGCTTGGCCCTCGATGGTTGAAAGGACAGAAAAAGGACTGGCCCGTGAGGAGGGAGGGTTTTCAGACCCCCGAATGTTTACTCAAAGCAAAGAAATCCACATCGGCGTTGCTGGTCGAAACAAAGGGCGAAGACGGCATTGCAGCAGTAGTACCACTGAATGATTACAGTAAGCTGCAAAGGTTAGTGTGTGTAGTTGTTTGGTAAGATGGTTCTTAAATAATTTGAAGGCAAGTGTGAAGTGAAAGGTGGATGTTAAGCAGGCATGTAAGTTAGAAGTGAGAGAACTAAAGGAAGCTGAGCTTGAGTTGACCAAGTCAGCTCAAGAAAAACTAAAACAGCAGGGTAACTTTGAGCAACTGGTAAGTGAACTGGGGATTGTAAAGCAAGGTGAAATTTTGAGGTGCGAAGGCAGGCTTCTCAACTCAGACCTAGAATTCACTGCTAGAGGACCCTTCATTTTACCCAGAAAGCACCATTTAACTAAGCCGATTGTACGAGATTGTCACCAAAGGGTACACCACAGTGGCGCGAGGGCCACATTGGCCCAATTGCGATCAAAGTATTGGGTACCAAAGGGCAGGCAAGAAGTAAAAAAGGTTCTAAATGTGTGTCACTTGTAAGAAACTGAAGGGCAAACCGTACAGCTCTCCCCCACCCGCTGCATTGCCAGAGTTTAGGTATCGATTTTGCTTAGCCCTTATGCGTAAAGAGTAAGGTGGGAAAGATGGAGAAGGTGTATATCGCATTATTTTCATGTTGTGTGACAAGAGCTATCCACTTAGAGCTAGTAGACTTGTCGGCCGCATCGTTTAGACGCTGTTTGCGACAGTTCACTGCAAGATGCAGAACGCTCACTCTTGTTGTGTCTGATAACGCAAAAACATTTCAAGCCACAGAGAAGGCCTTAAATGAATTGTTCGATCATCCAGAAACCCAAAGCAGACTTAGAGCGTATGAGGATAGAGTGGAAATTCAATTTAGAAAGGGCACCTTGGTGGGGGGGATTCTTTGAGCGAATGGTTGCGAGTGTTAAAGATTGTTTGTGAAAGACACTGGGAAATGCCAGATTGTCTTATGAGGAGTTACTAACTGTGCTCGTTGAAGTAGAATGCACTCTAAATGCGAGGCCGTTAACTTATGAGTACAACGAGGTAGACGGGGAAGTGCTAACACCTTCTCATGTAATCTATGGACGAAGGATCAAATCAGTTCCGGACGAAGTCATAGAACCAGAGGATGTGGTGGGTGAGGCGGAATGTTTCACAAGATTTAGATGTCTAAGCGCTCGATTAAGTCACTTTTGGAATAGGTGGCGAAGGGAATATTTAGCAAATTTGCATGAGTTTCACAGGTGTAAGGCACAAAATAAGATTGGAGCAGTAGAAGTAGGAGATGTAGTTGTAGTGCATGAGGAAGAAAAGAAAAGAGGAGAATGGAAGATAGGGGTGGTAGAGAGCCTACTCAAAGGGAAAGATGGTGTTATTAGAGGTGCTACAGTGAGGGTGGTCAGAAAGGGGAAACCGACCCACCTATCCAGGCCAGTGCAAAAGCTATACCCCTTAGAAATTAGGAGTAAGGGGTAGGGATGATCACACGTGGACAGCTCCGAACAAAGGAGAAGAACGGTTGAAAATCCTACAAGAACTGTTCCGTGCAGAAGCGCGGCTCTAGATTCACGATGGAAATCACGCCTGATCCTTGACTGGTAGACGAGTCAAGGGGGGGAGTGTGTCATAGAACATTTACACCCATTATTAGGATTTTGCTTGTTTTGTTATATTTCGCATGATTAGCGGCGCACTAAGTGAGTTATTGGTTCTTTACCTCTAATAGAGACCGGTAGAATGTAAACGGAAATATTGACAAAGAATGCGTAGAACGATCGACAAACAATGATGTAATTAACTAGATAATTGCTAGTGAAATCACGTGTTAAGATTAACGATAATAAGATTTGTCTAACAGACCCATGCAACAGGAATTACTGGGATCAACCGATTAGGAAATTATGTAGACAACTAAGCCCTATCCGACCACACCGGACCTACGTATCTGGGTGTGGATATCTCTAGCCAATAAAAGTGACACTTCTGATCCTAAGTCAGTTAGATCGTTGAGCAGAACGTGAATGTTGTGAGCTGAAGAATAAAAGCCAACTTAAAAGAGAGTATACAGTCCTCGTTTGTTGAACCAGCGTGTGCGGAGAGCAAATTCCACGAAACAGTGGTGCCAAAGCAAAAACCCAAAAGAAATCTTTTTTTTAGTCAACTGACCAAATGAAGCTTTCTAAAAGCGCGAAATAAAATGTAGAGAAATGCCCCAGTGACCACCACATTACTTGGGGCAGAATGCAAGATGGCGGCTACCAGAACTGCAACAGAAGTTTGTAAAAGTAGGAAATGTTCGAAGGCAGCTGGTCATATAGGTAGATGCAACTCAGAAAAGCCTGTTATTCCGTTTTTGGAATTATCTCCAGTGTTTCAACTGAACACATGTTAACAGAAACTGTTCAAAGAGGAAAAACAATTTGAAGAAATGCACGAGGCGAAGAGACTGTTACTCGATGACCGAGAACAGGCACTCGAGACGAGCAAACAATTAATGAACACCGCGTTAGACAAGAAAGGTAAAACTTTTTAACAAATAGATACATTCAGGACCGTGCAATATTTTATTTTTAACTCACACAAAAGCTTACTAATGCATTGTTTATAGAAGTTTATTATAAATTTATAAGCTTAGTACATGTAGCAATGAGAGAACATAAGAAAAAAACATTGCGTGGATAGATTTTGGATGATCAAAATACCATGGGAAAATCAAGTAGAGCTTCTATATTTATACTATCCTTTAAACTAAAACTATCTGTGTACTTTTTCCCAGAGAATGAGTTGTGTAGTCTACATGCTGGTTTTGAAAACATGAAAGCACTGGCTGAATCAACAAAGGAGTTGTCTGCTATTACCCAGCAGAATGAACTGCTGAAATCCATGATTTCATCCCTTGCATTGGATTTTAAGCAATTTTCAAAGTCAAAACGGGAGCAAAATAGTACATTAGCAGCTACTAAACCAACTACAAGGCATCGCAGACGGAAAGAGAAAGAAAAAGCCTTAAAGTTTATCTATGGTGGAAGTTCAGGTTCATTTTATGGAGCATGGGACTATATTGTTGCTAATGCTCCTAAAGAACTGGTTGGTGAATTTATTACTGGCTATAAAAGAGGAAATTATATCCAGGAAGTGTTTGAAAAGGCAATGAAAGAGCACCAAGCATCTCCTGAAGCTTTAACGCAAGCCATAGCAACTAAATATCAGAACTTTCTTTCCCAAAGGAAATTCATCTTAGTGTGCAAAACCCAGACTTCATATTTTAATGCGGAGTCAGAAGTATGGGTTCCAAGAAATGTAAAGTGTGTGGGGGTAGATTTGAGAGTTCCACAACCCGTTTCTAATGCTGCTGTAGAGATGTTTGTTAAGCAGTTAAACATTAGTGCAGCTAATCAAATCCCAAATGCTCCTGGAGTGTCAAGAACAGTCACTGGACTTGTGTTCATAATTATTGATTTACACCTGCGAGTACCACATCTGATGAAGAAGCTTGTTTGGTTCAATGAAATGGAAAACCATTTCATCTTCCAGTTCTCAGATGATGGTGCCCCTGAAATCAGCCAATTGACAATGTCAAAAGGGAGTTTGACAATGTGGAACCTGGGTGACAGAGTGCGAAGTTCTGACTTCCAATACCTCTTGCACTGTGTAAGCCTAGGAGAGAAACATGAGGCATTGGAAAATCTTTGGAAGCAGCACACAGATGAGATGGCTTTGCTGGAGGGAAACATTAGCACTGTGTATGGTAACCAGTGCACAGTAGAGTTCCAGCCAAGCGCTGATATGTGCTGGCAGAGTTGGACCATTAATGAGCTCAACCAAGCTTCAACTTACCCATCTCCATATGCAAATGTACACTAGGGATCATTGTGTACAATGGGGGGCTCCATTGGATACTCGCCATCTGATATTTGGAAACCTTACAGCATTGCTGATCGATCAGAGGATGCAAAGAAAGTTGCCAAATTTATGTCAACTGCTGAAAGCACTCTTCCACAAAAGAGTAGACATGAACAAATGCTGGCATACATGGCAGAAAATGGTATCAGGACACTTGGCCCTCCTCGCATTAGAGAGTTTGCTGACAGGCAAAGACCTGAACCACTGCACTGTGAGATCAATGCTTAGCAGCAAATCTTATCAGTCATTTACTTGGAATTTGTCAAAAGAGGTATGTTTGATGTCTTTATTAGAATGCTAGGTAATCCCACAACAAGGCCTGCAGATGCACAGGGTACAGGTAACACAATTAATGGACAACCATCATTGGGTTGTGGATTATCCTATCTGGTGCCTTTGATCAAGGAGCACTATGAAGATGAGAAAAGGAGGCACAACAAAATTCCAACAAGGCTTATTGGAGCTCAAGCCATTACACTTTCAAGATATGCATACTGCTTGATTGATATTTTGTACTCCACAGATGAGTCACTGTCACTGCGTGTTGTACGTTTGGCACTTGGTAGAATAGTGTTATTTCTCCAGCATGCGTGTTCTATTTTTAACAAGGTGTTAACAACACCAGCAGATTTACAAGAGCTTAATGAACATTGTAAGCTCTATTTCAATTTCATGTGCCTGTCTTTTACCAAGGCATGTTAATGTCACTGTTTGGACAGTTGCCTATGCAGTTCCCTACCATGCTTTCAAGCTCTTTAAGACTTTCAAGGTTGGGAATGCAATCATTTCTCGGCAAGCAAAGGAAGCGAAGCATTCTTGTGTAAAGAATGACCCTGCATTAAGCAACAAATCCAAAAGTCAGGACACCTCCGGTAAATGGTGGCAAGTAATGAGAGCCAACTATGTACGAAGCTTTTACCTTCCTGAACATCAACCAATGCCAAA